TTTTTTTTTTTTTTTTTTTACACTGAAGCAGAGAGGGGAGCTGGTCCTTCCCCCCTGCCTTTGTCCTGCACACGGGGGGGGAGCGGGGGGGTAAGGACCGGCTCTTCCCAGCTCACAGTGCCGGGGAGCGACCCCAGACACGTTAATACTAAAAATACCCACTTCTGAGCCATTTCAAGTCGTTTTGAAAACGAGAGCCTCGCTGCTTCTGATTTTAGAGGGCCCCCGCAGGCCGGCACAGGCAGGGGCCGTCGGCGGAGGCCGATGGGGCGCGTTCACGGGCGGCCGCGTCCCCGCGTCCCATCGCCACGAACACCGGCGCACGCAGAGCTCCGCTCCACCGAGCGGTTCCGCAGCAAACGCGGATTCCTGCCGGAATAAACAAAACCGGCCCCGGGCTCCCAGAGGTTACGCCGAAGACGGGAAAGCAACTGCGGCACCCAGAATAAAAATTCAATAGCAACGATTTTTCACGCTAAAGAGGTCCGAAAGAGCCCCTTGCCGGGAAAGCCCGGCCGTACCCGGGGAACGAAGCACAGGCTCCACGCTGCGAGAAACCCCCCTGTGCCGCCCTCACGCCGGCCCCGGGGGGGGTTATTCCTCTGCAAACGTTACAAAGCCTCATCCCACAAGATTATATTAAAAAAAAAAAAATAAATAAATCAGCACTTGAGTTACGCTTCTCGCGCCGAAGCCTGTTAGAGGCAGCGGAGGTGTTTCCACTGCTGCAATGAGTATTTGCCAGGACTCTGCCCGAGGAAGGAGACCATGAACTACTGTTAATTCTGGGCTCGGGACTGCAGAGGAGGAAAGTTAATAATGAATTCAAGAGTCAAGCTGAGATTGGGTTGCATTCAGTTTGGAAATTTGTGTAAGGAGGATAAAAAAAAACAAAAAAACAGAAAGAGCCTAAGAGAATAATTGATTACAGAAATGAAAGCTTAATTCATAAAAGAAAAACATTTTCCATCCATCAACCTGCAACCAGTTAAGTGGAGTTTTAAAGAAACTGCAACATGGAGAAGGAGCCAACAGGAAAAAGGAAATGTATGAAAGAATGTAAACTATTCAAGTTTCATAAAGAGGAACAAGTAAACAGTTATTACATGCAAATAATTCCTAACATCACTGCTTTTAATTAATGCAGAGAAGTCAAAATGTATCCGACACCGCGTGGATACATTCGAAGCCTTTGAGAAAATGCTGCCGTATGGCCATTAAAATATAGTATTCTTATTTTTGTTTAAGTGAACAATTAAGGCTTCGGTCCGCAGTGTTACTGGTGATGAAAAGCTGAATTTCTGTTCGCCCGGAGCTCAGGTGCCGGGG